CCACAACAGTAGGAGTTACAATGTCAGTTGGAAGATTCTATTCTTTTTAATTAAAAAAATATACAATATTGTGCAATGGCCAAGTCAAATGTCATATTTAAAAAATGTTTGGTCTCTTCCAAAGAAAACAAATATAAGTTGAAGGTACGAAAAGATGCTATTCTATATAGATTTTTTTTTTTTTTTTGAAAAGGTCTCGTAGGCCCAATTTATTGAGTCAATCAGGAAGGCCCCTTATAAGGGTTCAACTTCTACACTTTTAAAGTAAGACAAATACTCTTTCACTACCCCTAATTCTCTTCCCATGTGCAAGTGCCTCACACACATGGGTGAGGGCGCATTGCCTCACTGATAGTGGGACCCACAAGTAAAAATTATTTGGCTCTATATGGAGCTTGTTTTTCGTGGGGCGGGAGCTTGTGCTCCCTTTCCAAAAATATGAAAAAAAAGGATTGAGAAAAAATTTATAAGAAAAGCAGAAGTATAAATAGAAAAAAATATTTCCTTTTTTAATAAAGTATCACCAAATTTATCGTGGTCCGAGATCGTATTAAAAAAATTCCTCTATATGACTCGAATCAAGGGGCCTCTACATTCTCCATTGAAGAAACACCTTTGTGTAAATTCATCCCCCATTCTTGTTACTTTATTAGAATACAAACTAACCAGAATCACCACTTCCCCTTATTCTCTATGTTCTTTATCTAGTTTAAAACTATGCGATCATGAATTCCTGCTTGGCTATTAGAGGGTGTTTGGTAGAGGAAAAAAAAAATTTACCGGAAAAAAATAATTTTCGAGAATATGATGGAAAAAAATTTTCCCGGATAAATTACTAAAATGTGTTTGATAGGTTAAATTTTTTTCGGGAATGTTGAGTTAATTTTACTGATGTTGTGTTAATTTTTCTACTACATAGGAAAAAAACAATTTCACCACATTCAGTAGTAATCTTCCATAGCCATTCTATATGGAAAAGTAAATGATTTTGGAATTTTTTTTCTCAGCCATACTTTTACTTCACCTCCCACAAAATATAGGCAGGTAATTTTTCCCATCCCATTTTCCTAGGAAAAGAAATTTTCACCTCCTACCAAATACCCCCTTAAAGAGCAATTAAACTATCATCTCGTCCATTTCATCACCTCACCACTAGCAAGTTTCGAAGATAACATATTGTTGGAGGCACTAAATAAATCTACATAATCTGCACGCTTGTACTCGAATATAGATGATAAGAAATCGAGAATAGAAAAAATATATTGAAAACAATAGAAGTCGTGTTGGCATTTACGCATACAACTCAAACAGTCAGAAGCAACTACATTTAGTAAATTAGAAACATAGAATTGAACAAAGGCTTGTTTGTTCTGGTCACCAAAAGCCAGCCACTTGGCACGAGAACGCCAAAACCATGTGAGTTGTTCCCTGCTATAGAGGTCAACTCGAATTCCTTTTGTCACAGATTAAGGAATATCCGGATGAAAACTAACACAACGATCAGACAGTGTACATGCAACCATGCATGCAGTCATGGAAATCTTGCAAGGCTCTCCAATTAGGTTCACAACCTCCAGAAGCATTAGCCAACTCCAAAAGCAGAGTGTCAATTTAATTGAAACTAAACTAATTTCAAAAGCATTAGTCAATTTTTATTTTTATTTCATTCATTTATTTATTTATTTATTTTGCGAAGAGTATTGTCGACAAGATATATATTAGTCGGACAAGAAATAAAACTAGAAGCATACATTGTGGTTCTAAGTATATATTTTTTAAAAGAGAAAATTAGATAATTTCATTGAATAATAAGGGTCACTGGCTTGAATTAAACTAACGGAACATTATTTAAGGTTCAAAGCTACACTGAATGAGTACAGGAAGAAATTCAGGTGACGCACACATCACATCTTAATTCTTAAGAAGCACAAGTGTCAAGTCATATTTTATACAAAGTCTAAAAAATAATATGACTGACATTTAAAGTTGTGACATGATTTTTGCATGCTCATGACTAATTTGTCTGCTTCAAAATTTGTGAGGAACAAATGTAGGGGTTTACTCAATCTACTACAGTTGCCTTTCTATATAAATTCATTTGAGAGAGACACAAAATATTATAAGTAAGCGTATTGCTTGCCAATTACCTCACTGAGAATCAGAGAATGAAGGTGCACACTCGCCATGACAGGGAAGAAACCTCTATGCAGCCATTTGTATTTGCCGACCAAGACATTCTTTCTTCATTGTAACAATAACAGGATCTGATGAAAAATTACACTATGGCGTGTTGTAAATTTATCACATATCTTACTTACATTCAGATTGATAAAACATGAATTTATCAATGCATCGCAGACCATGATTATTGAAAAGATATCTCTGTCTCACCATACAGATATCTAAAGTTGACAGTTTAACAATATTTATCTGAACAACATGTCACTTAAAATTTTCATTACAGTTTATACATGAGACAAGGCATAACAAAATAATAATATATAATGTGCATCAAATGAAACAGATACAATACTGGCAATTGGAGAAGCCAGCTTTCTCCAAAGCACCCATTGGTACCCCAATATAGCCTACAACTTGTTTGCCTCTCGTTTTCCTCCCTTCTACATACAATGATCCTCCTAACTAATTTTCCCTCCCAATTCCGAGGGACCCGATCACTCTCCCATTAAGATTCACCTTGTCATCGAGGTGAAAATGAAATGAAGGAAATTGCTCTTTGAATGAAGGCTTCCACGACCTCCCAAGTCCTCAGCCATCAATATCTCCTCAGTTAAGTACTTGAACTGCAACCACTATATCAAGGCAGATTGATATTGTAAGGACATAGCAGAATCTGAAAATGCTCAGCTAGGAAATTCAATGGGGTGCCTCTTTTGCATCAAGATAGGCCCCATCCCTATCATGGAAGGGTGCATTTTAAGCCTAAGAAACCCCTTAGGCACTTGTTAGAGACCTGGGACTTAACTAAACAAATAAAATAACGGAACCGCAGATCAAATATAGAATCAGACAAAGTATACGTCTTTGTTGACAACAAGAAGCAAACTGTAAACAACACTGAGCCTTTTGAGAAGACTCAACCCGAATACAACCTCCCCTCAACAGATATGGCGATCACTTTTTTATTCTGCTTCTGAAAAGATAGCATGCTGCACCCATAGTCTTACTTAGACGTTAACAAAAATTTCAGCTAAAAAATAAACTTCACATGGCATGCATAAACAAGTGCATCCTGCGTTACACATCACCATCAACTGAAATGCACTTGCCCTTAGCCTTTTGAACTTTGAAGCTCACCCTATAACATTTAGTGAATGATGATTCCACCATATACCATTTTTCTTTCCATGGAATGCACAAAATGTAGGATTCCTGCCTTACCCTTCAAGTAATGGCTGCTTGAATACATGTCAGCTGAACTATCTACATGAACCAAGCAACCACTCCACTGTTTTCCTCATATGGCTACCCATATTATAATCATGGTAAACCACAATTTTGAACTTGATTGCAAGAAAATTCATGATTCTTTTTGGGGTTTCTGCCAACTAATTCCAACTCTGGCTTGCCTAACCCAGCTTGAAAAAATAACTCAGGGAGACCTACAAGGCAGTGTAAGGAGAAGACTTGATAAGTCAACTTCAAAGATACGAAGATGGATTTTCATCCATGAACTGCACTGCTTTGTCCTTGTGGATGCTTGACCCACATGATAGGGATGCTGTTGTGGTTAGAGAAGCCATTCAACAAAATGAGATCAATTTCAAAGCTCTTGTGAAATTGTTGAGTAGAAAATCAAGTTTTGTTTTTCTCATCAAACAGACCAACCAGAAAAGGCTCGGAAGGCTATTGAACCAAGATATTATCAATTTCGACCCTCCATATCCATTTCAAAAGGGGGGACTATTGGGAAACATTCAAGCGGTTCAGGGAAATTGTCAGTTGCTAGTAAATTTTAAAAACTGGGTGATTATGCAGAATCTTGTGGCATTGCCTGTATCACGTGGAGCTCAAAAAATAGATGTTAGTCAGCATATATCTAAGTGTGATGCCAGGAGGCTCTGTGAAACTAGGGAGGGAAGCTTAGGAGTTGTGAATGAAGCTGTTGTACTAGAAATTTTAAGCAAGAGGAGCATTCCCCAACTAAAGCTAACATTTGAGCTATAAACACATTTATGGACATGCCTACACAAAGGTATTACAATAATGAGATAAAATAATATGCTAGTAATCTTCTCCCCTGCACCTTATCCAATTCAATGTACTTTCTTTATTTGATGTATTTGAAATTTGTTTTGTGTCCTTTGTGCACTGTGTAGCTCCTGCACCTTATCCCATTCAATGTATTTTCTATACAGCAGCTACTAGATCTATTGCTCCATCTTAAGTAGCTCCTGCAGATGCTTCTAAAATTATAGGAACAAAACTTGTTGAGAATAGCGTAATTCAGATAAGCTTTTACAGTTTCTTTTGTGAATGACATGAAGTGAAAAACGAGCTTAGCTTAACTTGTAGTGGCATACAGTTATATAACGTGACAATGTAAAAAATGATGTCCCTTTCTATGAAGCAAAGCAAATTTACCATCTTAAAAAGTATTTGTGTAAACTACATAGCAACCTTTGTTCTTATATCTTTTTGGCTCCTTTATGCTACGATCCTAGACTTGAGTCAGACGCATAAGAAATGCATGGTTAGATATTTGCAGCATACTTGTGAGTGATTTGGCAAAAAATGATAAAATAATAAATAAATAAATAAATATATAAATAAATAAAAGGTCTACTTGTCATTGTCCTCTTCATTTTAACTTTCTTCAATTAAGAAAAGTGTGGTATCGCGTACTCAGTTTTCAATGCATGTTTGTTCTTTCAGACCCCATATTTCAGTCTGCATGCTATGATGCAGAAATTAGGGAGTATAACTAACTAAACAATGAACATATTGAAAGTTATATTGAAGAAAACATAATGCTACGATAATAAGAACAAATCAAACAAACCATGTTTCCATAATTAAGCTATGAAGTTGGAAAATAACAGTGTTCCGTACAGAAATTGTTGGGAAATGAAATCAATTTCAGCATTCATATTTGCTCTGATGTGCTTCTATTGATGGAGATTCCATTTGTCCATGAGGGACCGAAAGTAGACTCTCCCTATACATAACTGTATCAAACCCACTCAGATCATCAGAACAATATTCACAACGTTCTAGCAGTTCTCCTTTGTCATTAAATTTCATCACTTCTCCATCATCAAAGCGTAATGCAACAAGTTCACCATCTTTTGCCATGCATACAGCGGAAACGTGTCCAGGAATCTCAAGCATAGTCCAAGATGACTGCACTTTATATTCTTTCATAATCCACACCTTAGTTTTAGTATCGTCAAAATGACATAAGCAGAGACATCCTCCCATAGATCCCAATTTACAAAAATAAAAGTCAACAGTTGAACAACCATCGGGCAAAGATATCTCAAAGAAATTCTTGTTTACCATATCAAAGGCAAGAATTACAAATGAATTATAACCGGAAGCCAACCAATGAATAGCATCATTAAAGAACAATGGTTGACTGGTAGAATACATGTCGGGAAGATGAGGCCCCTGAATTTCTTTCAATGAATTGGTTCTCAAAGAGAAAAGCACCAAACGGTCTACCTTAAGATTAACATAAACATCATCATCACCATTATCATCAATGATGGGGTTTAAGTAGTACTTAGCCCACAGTACAACTACCAAATAATCATCGGTGGATGGGTCATACCCAAAACCAGTTAGAAATTTGTCCTCACTTTGACATTGTTTCCCTATCTCAGAGTATGATAGTTCTCTGTGGAAACCAGTTGATGGGTTCCAAATATAAAAGTTTGAATATCTTTTTATAAGGACAAACCCTCGGCATGAACCGAAAATCAAAACATGAGGAGCATATTTACCTGGCTTTGGAAATGGGGGAACGAGGCTTACAACGAAAGAATCATCGTTAAGCGAAGCATCAAAATCTATCGGTCGAGCTTCGGAACCAGAACGTGTTATCTGCAGAAGCTTATGGGTGGGTGCGGCAGATAGCTCGTAATGGGATTTTGCAAATTGAGAGTCAGAGATCAGAGAAAGCCATGATTTGCACACACACTTGAATCGAACAAGAGATTTCACAGGTAATCTCAACAGGATTTCCTGAATCACATCCCAGGAAAGCTTACTCTCCATGCCTCCTTCTTTTCCTTTTTTTTTATTCAAAGGGGAATTAGGGTTTAGATTACTCAACTAAGAGATTGGGTATGATATTTATGCACCAAATACGCTGAGAACGCAGATTGAGTTGGAAATTACATTATCATGTAATATTAATATTAAATTTTAATATTAAAGCTAATTGTGGTTGTCATCAAATAATATCGAAGAATGATAGACAAAAATAGATAAAAAAAGTAGGTCATAAGTATAATAATTTATTCTTTAAAATAATTTAAAATGGGAAAGGCTATGCTTAGTAAGTTTTTTCTTACTATCTCTTACTACTCAATTTTAATCTTTGATTTACCAAAAAAAAATTTAATCTTTGATTTTCGTTGATCGATCCGCAGCAAATTTTACGATGCTCGCTTTAGTTTCTAGCAAATAAAAAGGTTATTCGTGGTTCCTAAAAAATTCAAAATTGACCTATTTTAGTCCTTTTGAAGGACTAATGTGGGTCTTTTTTAAATTTGTGAGTGACCACGATTTCAACTAAATGGATCCATTTTAAATTTCTTAGAGACCATAGCCTTTTTATTTAATCAAAAAGAATATATATATTTTTTTGGAAAACAAGGAAAATAAAACAAACAAAAGAAACTAGCTAGGGACCCATCTAGGGGCAGCAGCACGTGTAAGGTCATTCAACAACAGCGAAAAACAAAAAGGGGGAGGGTCATCGTAGATGGAGGTCTCCCAACCCTGCAGAAGGGCCTCTGCTACCAAACGGTCAGCAACTAAGTTCCCCTCCCTAAAAGTATGAGAAAACTTGATCTCCCAAGGATTACTCAAGAGGGTCTGAATCTTTTTAACGAGCGAGGACAAAGGGTTATGGGCCACACAACCTTTGGAGACAAGTTAGATAACAGATAGAGAATCACACTCCACCCATAGCTTTGGAAACCTCCTCTCCCAAGCGAGATCCAGCCCTACAAACAAGCCCCACAGTTCAGCTAGGAAGGAATTATCACAGCCAAGAATGAGTCAACAGGTGACCCCAAACAGTTTAGGCCAGTTTGAGGCTGAATTTTTCCTTCCGGAAACAGAAAGGTTGGACTTCAACCATTCATGGAAGGTAGGGATAGAGTTGTTAAGGTAGAAATGAGAGTCACCAAGACACGTCCAGATAGGTCTGACCCAGTTGCAACTCAGAAAGATATGGAAGTTATCTTCACAAGGGCTACCACATCTTGGGCACACATCAGATGAGGATAAATGGTGCTTGTATCTGAGGGAGTTGGTCATCAAACTTTCTCCAATAAGGAGCCAGAGGAACATCTTCACTCTATGGGGGCCCTCCCAATCCCAAGCAAGCTTCCAAGTGAATCGAACAGCAGATGGGGATTGGGGACGAAGAAGCTTATAAGCAGAGCTAACTTGAAAGCTCCCATCCTTAGAAAGATCCCAGATAACCCTGTCATTGCCATTCTCAGGCTGAGGAGGCATCAAACCAGCAATAAGATCAAGGATGTGCCCAGGAAGCAAGTGTTGAAATTTACCCCAGTCCCAAGACCCCGAATTTGTAGCACAATCAGCCACCTTCCAGGCCAGAGAGTCCTCAGGAATGGGGGCATTAATAATGGATGGGAGAGGACCTATATTGGGGAGCCAACGGTCAGTCCAGAATTTAGCTTTATTCCCATCACCGACAAGGATTCTTGAACCCGCCTGAACATTAGACCAAGTATTCGTGATACCCCTCCACAAATTCGACACGTTGCTCCTATAGGATAGGGATGGAATCAAGTCCTCACCGACCTCGTACTTACTCCGAAGTTCTCTGTCCCATAAAGCATCAATGTTGGTAAGAAGCCCATGGCCAAGCTTCATGATAAAGGCCTTATTGAAAGATTGAAGAGACCTCAGACTCAGCCCCCCTTCCTCCTTGGGAGAGCAAACCCTATCCCAATTAACAAGATGCATCCTCCTGCGATTCTCCGAAGAGCCCCATACAAAGCTTTTCGTATGTTTCTCCACTTCATCACAGATCTAAGAAGGAAGGACAGAAGTTTGCATGGAATAGGTGGGTAGAGCCGCTAGCACAGAAGTGGCTAAGGTGACCCTACCTGCCAACGAGAGAGAGGAGACGTTCCAGGAGTTAAGTTTACAGCTCACCCTATCCAAAATATGGGAGAAGGAGATCCTGGACACCCTACTATGATGAAGAGGGATACCCAGGTACTTTCCAAGGTTCCCTGTAACCCTGAATCCGAGCACGTTACAGATCTCCTCTCTTCTACTAATGCAGACATTCTTCGAAAAAATACTCTGGTTTTATTCTCACTCACCTTTTGGCCAGACGCATCACAGAAGCAATGAAGAATTTGACTAATAGTCCTGGCTTGATCACAGGAGGCTACGGAGAAAAGCAAGATATCATCTACGAAAAATAAATGGGAGATAGGGGGACCCTTTCTACCAAGAGCAATCGACTTCCAACGACCAGCTTGCGCAGCTTTATTAATTAAATGGCCCAATCTTTCAACACACAAAACAAATAGGTAAGGGGATAAAGGATCCCCTTGCCTATTGCCTCTGGTTGGTTTGAAATCGAAAGTGGTACAACCATTCCAGAGAAGGTTCATCGTGGAGGTTGAGACACAGCAATCAATAATCCTGATCAGATTATCAGGTAAACCCAATTCCATGAGGGTATCATGGATAAACTGCCAATTGAGGCGATCATAAGCTTTCTCCAGGTCCAGCTTGATTTCCATCCAACCCTTAGCACCTCTTGTATTCCTCATGGAGTGGATAGCTTCCTGCGCAATGACAATATTGTCAGAACTATGCCTGCCGGAGAGAAAACTACATTGGTTAGGGGCTATCCAGGAAGGCATAAGATCCTTGAGGCGATTCACTATCAACTTAGTTAAAATCTTATAAGATACATTGCACAAACTAATGGGCCGGAAATTTGTAATGGATTCAGGGCATTCTGACCTAGGGATGAGGCAAATAAGGGTGTGGTTTACCTCCTGAACCCGAGTATGATCAGAAAAGAAGGACTTGATAAGTCTACAAATGGAATCGCCCACAGCCTTCCACTGGGACTGCAGAAATATCGCATTAATACCACCCGGGCCGGGCGCTTTGAACTTTCCCATGCCGAAGACAACCTTTCTGATTTCGTCGTCCATAAGAACTATGCTCAACCTCTCTTTCCTACTGTGTTCAATCATAGGGAACATGTTCCTCACAGGAAAGGCCTGTCTCTCTCGAATATCCTCAGAGTATAAATTAAAATAATAAGACGTCGCAAGGTTGATGAGATCCTCAGCCTCACTAACCCAGCACCCTTCATCATTTTTCAAAGTCGTGACCTTGTTTCTGCGTCTCTTGGAAATCGTGGAGGCATGGAAGAATTTGGTATTTTTATCCCCATATTTCAACCCACTGCACCTGGACCTTTGGTTCCATGTTAACTCCTCTTGGATAAGGATAACTTCAAGCTCTCTCCAAAGCTTATTCTGCAGGAACAACAAACTACTGTTCGGGTGATTCTGAAGATGGAGGTCCAAACCCCTCAGCCGCGCATACAGTCTATTCTTCTCTTTGGTCTTGGCTAAAAAGATATCGTGATGCCAATCTGAGACAGAAAGCTCAAAGTTATTCCTGGCTTGACACCAACCCACATCAACCCCCCAACAACTATTAACAATATTACTAAAGTCATCAGAAAGTAACCACCCTGCAAGAAAACGAAAAGGTTTAGAGTTTCTAGGCTGCACCAAATGAGGCTCATTAACAAGGAGCAAGGGTCTATGATCAGAGCAGAAAAATGGCAGATGATTAAGAATGCTGTTAGGCCAAGCCAGATTCCAAGATTCATTTGCACATGTCCTGTCCAGGCGCTCTTGGAGTTGACCCCTCTTCCAGGTAAAAGAAGGGCCTTTAAAACCAATGTCACTAAGATCACAAGAAAGAAGGCACTGCTTAAAGTCTTGGACACTTCTCCAGCAAATTTCTCTGCCCCCAACCTTCTCTGTAGAGGAAAAAACGGTGTTAAAGTCCCCAAGAATGACCCAAGGGTCAGAAACAGAAGAGGAGAGGGTGCAAAGATCCGCCCACAGACTTCTTCGCTCCAAGATGCGAGGACTTTCATAAACAAAGGTGACTAAATCAACCTTGGGAGAACTGGAGTAGCTAATCTTAGTGTGGACCATCTGCTGTGACGAGCTGAGAACTGGACAGACACGTCAAAATCGTCTCAGAGTAACCAAATACCGCCAGATAGACCCAACACATCCTGAATAAAGAAACGATTAAAGCCAAATATTTTAGCTACAGTACGCGTTTTATCACCTTTCACTTTAGTTTCTAATAAGGCCAGGACCTTAATGCTGAATTTAAATTTCAGATCACGAATTAAGGGAGGTAAGCACTTCTTACCAACCCCTCTGATATTCCATGAACTAAAAATCATAAAAAATAAACAATTACAGAAAAGTGACACGTTGGGCCTGGCCCAACAATCAAGAATGGTAGGTAGAAACCCCTCCTGTCGCTGAGGGGACGTGATCAACAGCCACACCATCCTGTGCTTGGGGAATAGAGTTACGAAGGGTTTGTGCTTCAACAACTTTAGGACCCTGGCCCACCTGAGCCTCGTAACTCGCATCTCGCCTGATCTAATCTTGGTTAGCTTCGTCACGTAGCACCAAAACGACATTGGGTTTAGCTGCCCCTTTTCTGGTTCAGCTAGGAGTACCACGTAAAGTAAGTTGCATGGTGGAGGGACGCACTCCAGGAGACAAAGGCCTCTTATTGGTGGTGGTAGGCTTTTTACTTTTCAATGCTTCCAAGGATTTTGAAGACCCTTGTTGTCCACATGTAGCTTTACGAGGAGTCAACTTAGAGGAAATGGATATCTTCTTTCCCCCAGCATTACTCACCAGGATAGCAGGTTCCTCAAATGCTGATAATCCCGCAGCGGATCTCATCCCAGTAACCTCTGTCACATGCTGCATGTCAGAACTTAAGGAAGTAATTCCAGATTGATCATTGGGATTCGTACCTGGTATCGTCCCCATCCTCTCGTCGTTAGCCCTCACCGGAATGGCTCTTGCACGTCTATCTCCTGCCGGTTTCTGGATGACCATCCATGGCTCGAAGGCCTCGTCCATCTGTTTGGGGGCCTGGACATGAATGGGGTGCACCACACTGGCAGTTTCTGGGATGTTAGACGTAGTTGGAGCCTAGGCATCACATGCTACAAACCCAGGGGTGGGGGCTCCCACTACACAGGCGTCCTTCTTATGACCATATTGGCCATAGGAAAAATAAACTTGGTGCAAACCTTCATAGCCAACCATGAAAATTCTAGAGCCAATCGTAAACTTTAAGACCAGGCTCTTCCCAAGGTCGAGCTCAACATAGATTCGGGTGAATCTAGCTTTCTCTGTAACTACCCCAGCCTTACTGTCCGAGGCTCTGAGGGAGTTTCTGTCCACCTTCAGAGTCTTACCGAAAATATTCCCTATTTTCCAAAGATGGTGTGAAGAAAAGAGTTCAATCGGTAAACCAGGAATCCTAAGCCACACTTCCAGCTTCTTGACCGTTTCATTGTAAGGATCAAACATAGGTCGCCACCTCTGCATCACAACGTAGTGACTGATAACTACCCAGGGACCCTCCTGCAAGACGTGGACATAGTCCCTTTGATCCTGAAACTTGATAAGGAGGAACCCGTTGTCCATCTCTATCAGCTCGAAGGTCCCCACAAGGTTCCACAAACTTTGGAGTCTGGTCATGAGGAATCTGGTCCCCAACCTTTTACCTAGCAATTTGATAATGAGGGAGAGCCTCCACTTCTTACAGTCTTCCTGGTGCATCTCCTTAGAAAGCTGGTACGCTAGGCAAAGAGGATCTTTCTCAACATCCTTATCACTCTCTTCATCGAGGTAGATGCCCTCTTCATCCCTGTTAAAGAGTGTCATCCAACTATCTTCCACCGAGTCAGGGATATACCCACTGCCTTTTAGTTGCAGGAGCTTATCCTTATAGGAAATAGCTTTTATTCCCTTCACGCCTACAGGTAACGGCTCCTCCTTAGCTGCTAGGCTCCCCACGCACCCCTCGAACAGGACCTTCTCACCCGAGGCTTTCAACAAGGAGTTCACTGCCACCGCCTCTCCTAAAGAGCTAGAACCACTTTGCTCCTCCAGAACTTTCTCTGCCATCGTAGGTCCATCACTCTCTCCTATCCTCCTATCCATCCTTCCTTCCGTTGAGAACTTTCTGTGTGGCATGTTCTTCCAGTTTAGGATTACTGTACACTTAATTTCACCCAATTTGGACAAAATTAATCTCTTCCAATTTGCACAAAACACCTAGCGAAATCTCGTCTAATTTGAATGCGACTCAATTTGTTTTACTATTTCAATATTCTCTTGAGCATTATAATATCGATCCACGCTGAATTATAAACAATTTAAAGTAGATCGAGAGGTTATCAAAATCACATCACTACAGTTAAAATGATTCAACAAGCTAAAGAATTTCCTATACTTTATATCAAATTATATGTATAAAAAATTCGAAAGTGACATATTAACAATTATTAAGATATATAGTTACGTAAGAATGATAAACTTTAATTGTAGATTATACTTTAATTATATTAATCTACAAATTTGTTTATGCTCTTACCTCAAGAGTCAAGATGATAACTACAAACAGGGACATATTTAATTTTGCATAAAATCTAAAAATTATTAAATATTCTTAATATTATCCTTTCACTTCATTATTGTTTTCTCATTTCATTTAGTAAAAATAACAGAATATAAAAGTAAATTAAAATCTTTAAGATGACAATTATATATATTTTGAAAAACATTTTGCTCTTTTGTACATGTTTTTTTTTCCTTTATGCCATTTGGAAATCCGACTTAGAATTTATATTCAAAGAGTCACTTTGCTCAACTAAAATTAAGTACAATTAATTTGAAATAATAATTAATGATAAACTTAAATGAGAGAATAAAAGCATTTGCTCACGCAGAAACAATTATTATGAGAGAGGCAAGGTGCAGGTGGTAGTGTTGTTAAACCTGTCCTGACCCAGCCAGGTCGACCCGAGTCCCCGTGACCAGTGGGGTAATCGATTTAGGTCACACTTTTGACCGGTGATGCAATCAATCCAGTATGACTTGCATGACTCACCCAATTTTGACTGAGTCTCGTTGACCAATCGGGGCTTGTGAACCGGTTCAGGTCAAATTAAAAAAAATCATATTATTAATAAAACACAAAAGGCAGTGAAATCTCTATTTCCCTTTCATCAGCAAAAAAACACAAAAAAAACACTATGGGTGGTGGTGGATTCCCCATATCTCGTCGCCGTAGATGGTGGTATTTGTTGTCGCCGTCTGTCGCTCCCGGTGAGTCTCCCTCTTTCACTTTCCACAGAACCGTTCGTTTCCATTTTGGATTTGAGATCCCCATTTCAGTTTCTCTGATAGATTTGTTTGGTCGAAGCAGCATTTGCTTGTTGTCTCCCTTTTACAAAACACGGGTATTGTAGTGATGCCCTTTCCATTTCAACAGCAAACACAGTGTTTGCTCAGTGAGTCAGGTAACTCTTGATTCTAAGCTTTTCTTCTTCTTCCATGTAGGTAATACTGCCAATTTTTTTTTTATTATTTTCTTTCGCTTCCACAACCTCTCTCTATCTCTCTCTTTCTCTATTGTGATTTGCTTGTTCTAGTAGTAAACGTATGAAAATTGGCGAGGCAGAGGATGAGATTGCCTCCCCCACTTTGTTCGATGTGTTTGCAATTTGAGTTTGTTTGTCTGAATCTACGGGTTGAAGTTAAAAGTGAAGTCTGAATCCCATTCTGCATTTTTTTCAGTTTTTTGGTCGGTCTGTGTTGAAAGTCCAGCCTGCTTCATCACTTCCTGGTAGTTTCTCTTGTTGTGGAAAAGGAGGTATCTTTCTTGCTTTCCTAATATCTATTTTTAAACTTGTCTTGTGAAGATACAAATGATAACTCAATTGGTGTTTTTAGGATATGTTTTTAATTCATAACGTGTATGATCATTTATCATTTGCTGAAAATAGGTTTCTATTGAGTCCATGGCCGCTCCCTAATTGTGTATAGTGGTTGTAAATTACAATAGTTTTGATTCCTTTCTAAACTAGAAAGGCTCTTGTGTTCATAAGATGTTTTCCATTTCCTAACTGTAACCCTTTTTCTTGTGTTCTTTTCCTATTTTCATTGAACCATGCCTCCATTATGGTTTCTTGACTCTTCAACTTTTTGAATAAAAATGGGTCATCAAACCATCATTGTTTCTTACTAGTTCTTCGTTTGTTGAATTTTGTTTAAACTGTGATGGGATTGATAGACAATTGTTCAATTTCAACATGATAGGGTGATAATTTTTTAATTTTTTCCTGAGCAAAATTCAATTAAGTGCACCATTTGAGCAAAATGTGAATAATCTTTCTAGTGTAATTTTTACTCATCTTACACATGATATTTGCCAAAAAGCACAATCAAGAGATTTCCTTTGCTTATCATCTGCCAACCTCTCCTCTGTTTATGCAAAATAGAAACTGCATATGGAGATTACTAACTAAGTAACTGATAATCAAAGATGGGTGAAATGACATTTTATTTATTTGTGTTTATTTTGTGCAATTTACTGATTAATTATGAACTTATTATAGTATGATTGGGTAATTTTTGAGCTTATTTAGTGAACCCTGTTTATCCCATTTTAGATATGGAGAATATTTTAAATTTATGCGTTCATATTTATATATATTATATCCGAGTCAACCGGTCCGATCAGTGACTCAGTGACTCAGGCGTTCATATGCCTGGGTCGAATTTAACAATACTGGCTGGTGGGGTTGGCATGGGAATTGGGATGAAAATATAAAAAATGGTGGTGCAGCCCTTGTGAGGTTGAAAATAAAACAAAACAAATTAACTACACGGCATACACGATGAATCGTAATTTGAAAACAAGTACACCTACACGTGAACTTGATCACTATACAGGACGTTGGGTGGAGGGATTTTTTTTTAGATTCCCGGAAGACTGATATTGAAAATCTCATTTACCCACATTTGGTATAAGGTTTGTGAAATTTTTCCCAAAAATCTAATTTTCCCAAGATTTTGATTTGTGAACAAATTATGAGGCAAAATGCCTTCCAAGAATACCACCAGGGGATGTATTCCTAGATTCCTGGGACATTGAAAAATATCACACTTAAAAATGACAAAATTAACCTTGTTATCTTCCACCACTCTTCCATAAACTCGTCCATAACGAGAAACCCATCCACCATCAGATGGAACCAAAACAACATCATGTCTGATAATTTTGAGACAGACTGATAAGTATGAAATTCTAGTGATTTGATATTTCTGACAAGTCTGATTGTTTGATGTAGTGATAAGTACAGTGTGGTGAAGAATTCTGATGTGTGTAATGATGTGGTGAAGAAACAATGTATTTGTTGTATAGTGAAAAGTGTTGTGATATATATATATATATATATATATATATATATATATATATATATATATATATTACAGATTATGCAAAAATCCTAATTAAAAAGGGGTACACTAATTGTGTCTAGATTAAAGTGCATATTCCGGTAATGTGATTATAAAGAATGTAACGTCTGGCCACTCCAATGACTATCCCCACGCACTAACACGAGACTTTTCAGTGTGCTTTGTCCTCACTCGCACACTTCTTAGGAAAAATTTCCAGGAGGTCACCTATATCAGAATTACTATAAGTCTAGCACGCTTAACTATGGAGTTCTTCTATTCTGGGCTACCAAAAAGTAGATGCATCTTGTTAGCATAGGTAGTACCAATTAATTCTTATAAGCTATCCTCAATTGTACCATCCTATACTGGCATAATTTCCGGAATCCTTCTCTTTCGGGTGTTGATTCGATTCATTCATGTACCTCCGCCGCTAGAAGCCTATCGGGAGCCGCTCCTTGTTCATGCCCTTTCGCACCGGCGATCACTCCTCGCCCTCGTCAGTGCCTGGGATGTTAAATGGTATTTGATGATATATATATATTCCAATATGAGGACAATGAGTAATCTGGTCATACAAGTTGAGTGCATCCGGACAATGGGTGACTCTAGTGGAATATTATTATTAGTGATTATTGTGAACGTGAGCGCATCCAGTCTTCAGTTGATTCCGGCTACTTTGCAGATCAGAGATGACTTAGTATATATTATGAATATTGTGTTTCTGTGGTGTGTTTGTGTGAATTGTATTGTATGATTTATGTTGTTGAATTTATTGTATTTGTTGTGTTTGTTATACTTGTCTTGTTTGGTAAAATCATTATGTGTAAATTTTTGGTGTTGTCTGGTACTTGCTGTTATCTATTTATTTTAATTATGTTGCAAGTTTTGTAATGCTATTATGATTATTATTTGTATTTAATTTGATGTGTAAAGTGGAAAGTTATCAGTGATTTTTTGAAAGAGATATGATAACTTATTATGAAAAGAGTGGATAATGCTATGATAATTGCAGATATTACTCTAAGAGTGTCATATTATTGGAAGACATATGAGAGTTTTTGGGATAATTGCAGCGTTAGTAATATGTGTAACTTCCGTAAGAACTTTGGTGATCGGAAGATTATAATAAAGATTGAGTTAAGAAATTATGAGTTGTTTGTATTGATCAGGTACATTTATTTGAAAGTAGAATATATGATTTCATGATTAATATTTGTAATTATGTTTATTGATTTAAATACAATAAGTTGCTTGGATTAATTACTATGATTGTATGCAATTCACCTTAGGTTGTAATTCAACTAGAAAAATCTGTAAAGAATTCTATATGTTGTATAACGCATGATGTATGTAAATTCGTATGTAATGAACTGTATGTTTCTACTATTCTATGTGTGCTGACCAATTATGTAGGAAGTGTACTCGAGGGTGGAGAAAACTCTATAAACCTCGAGCTTACTAAGATGTTGTATTCTCACCCCGCATTTTGGAGACATATTTCAAGTGCCATCATGGACGATTAGTCTTCAAGGAATAAGTGACGCGAAAAGGATGGCTAGCAAACACAGCAGGATCAGTTTGGTTAACTGACATTTGGGACTATACGTGTATGTCTATATTTTAGATATTATATATATTGAGGCATAGATGTAGTGGGT